GGAGTAAAAGATAATTTTACTCCTGTAAAATTATGCCTGCCCAAGGCATACAACATGAAAGCAGCAATTGAATTTCTGCCAAGTTATCAGAGGTTTTAGGAAAATAGGAGTTGGAACATTTTAGCCCTGCCCTTTTTGGCATTACCTCTTCAGCCCTTGCAGGCTGAACTCTTGAAAAAGTAGTGGAAAAATGGTGTAGTCCAGGGGACCAAAAACATGGACTGTCGTTATCTTTTTCTTATCCCATTGACTTTGGCTTTTAACTTTATTAGCAGGTGTCAGCATTAAGTACACTAGGCTGATCCCAGTTATGTACGGTTAAATGGGAGACTACCAGAATACCTTAAATTGCCTGCTGTGGATTCAGAAGACAAAAAAATATTCTGACAAACCATTTCCATAGAAAGTAATGACAAACCACTTCCATACAATATTGTTTGAAAGAAAATGACAGGGAGGAATCTATGTAATGGAATCACACTCAACTCAAAGGAATCATTTTAAATTTTTATTATTAGTAGTAGAAATAGTATTTGCAGTCATTTCAGAATCACCTAGCTTTTCATAAAATTAATAGCACAATCCCTCTTTTAAAAGTTCTTTACAGTAGGTGCTATGGATGAATTCATTTCTATATATGCATGTAATTTGCAGTGAATGCATTGCCTATTAGAGCAAAAACTTTTAGTTTTCTAACATTTTCAATCTGATATATAAGAATGTATTATATTTTTCCTTCCCTTCCCTTTTCCAGTCCTCAATTGTACAGCTATAATTCTAGAATGTGATTAATGCTAGAATGGATGTCTTCACTAATTTGAATTTTTCAGAACAGGAATATTACGTCATGCAGCAAAGTAAAGATAAAGTTGCTAATTAGTAGAAAAGAAAACTGAGAAAGAATCTTACAGGAGAAAAGGGAGGATAGGTACAAAGAAGCAAAATATAATGAATGAAATGTAATGGTAGATTTTATTCTTGGCATAGTCTGAAAGAGAATTTGGCCTGACAAAGTGCAATAATCTTTTTCCATTTCCCATGCAGGGACTGGTACAGCTTGGTGAGATGCCTCCTTCTGACCCTGTATTAAGTGATTCAACCCATAGTCTTAGCCTTGACCGCAAGATAGAACCTGGAATTGACAGATTGGTAAGTAATAAAAGTGGGGGGAGTATTCCTTGGAGTACTTTTCTTTTATCATTGCCTCTTTCCCTGCTGATATTATATTGTTGTATTTTATTTTATTTATTTTATTTAATTCCTAGTTGTGTGTGTACACAGAAACCAGGAAATAAATAAAATTCAGCAATATAATCTATATATTACAAATTCCATAGATGTATAAAGAAGGAAGACTGTCCTTCTGTTGTTGATTTTTTCTTTTGTCCCAATATTTGAAGAATTCCGTGTTAGGGTTAGTTTTCTGTTTCAGATGCTTTCAGAAATCACCTACTTACCTACATTGGCATCCTCAGACATGTTTCTAGGATAGCATATTACTGAAGACTATACAGTTGTACTTTATTAGAAGTTGGGATGCAGTTTCAAAATTCCTGAACAGTAGAATAAAATAATTATTTTTGTTTTTTAAAATACTGGTTTGCCAAAATATAGTACTATAATTATTTTTTTAAAAAATCAAAACATTGTGAAACAAGTACTTGTGATGTGTCTGCAGACAGAATTAATTTAAAAGTGGATGAATAGAGAAAATACCAGATCTAGAAGTAGACAGAATCCTAGTAAATGATTGCAAAAGGGATGAGATTCAGTTGTTCACTCTATAATTTCTGGAGAAACATAGGTGAATGCATTCCACATTTCAGATTCAAGGGCACCAGGTGCTTTTAATCAGTCTGTGTACTGAAATATCAATATTTTTAGGTTCTGGCATCTAAGGTTTACTCATAAATGACTAGGAACTGGAGACCTTTCTATCCATGAGTTGGTATCTCTCGTGAAGGCTTATGAAGTTAATACAGTAGAAGTTATTCTTTGTGGATTTTTAAAGGAAAGCCTATATTTGCTTTGCATACAAAAGGTCCCAAGTTCGGTCATGGTTACTTTGGTAGCAGACATTTATTTGAGAGCATGAACAGTAAATAAATATTAACATACTGTCTGAGTAAAATAAGCAAGTAAGTGTCATATAAAGATAATCCACGCTTGCCCAATTGGTCTGATTCTGTAAAGCTTTACAATTGCTTGCTCAAAAGTGATTGCTCAGGTGCTGAGCAGTTGAGCATGTCTGTCAGTTGCTTCTGATTTAGGCAGATTTCATGATTGCAGTCATGTAAAATTATGTTCACAAATTTCTTTCATAGGAAAGCAGAAACCTACTTGTTTATTTGGTCTATTTCATCAGAATCATCCTCAGACACTGTCTTTCTAGACTTTCAGATAAGAGTTTCCTTAGTCTTACCTGGATATGTCACTTGGATGTGTACAAAACACCTTCTGCTCTAAGACCTTTTGTTTAAAGCAGATTGGACTTCTTAATCAAACACTGCCAATTTTCATTTTTTAATTCCTTGAGAGAGCTTTATCTTTTGTGGCGATATTGCCAGCAGTGAACCAAATTACAGGGCCAAAGGTGGAAGTGTCAAGAGGGGAGACACAAAATTGAAGGTTCTAAACTAAAGATTAAAGTTCATTCATTGCCATTTAAGTACCGATGAAAGCAAACGAGCTAGAAATGGATCTATTTAGGTCTCCCACCTAGCAGTTAGAGCTTGCTAGCTGTTAGAAAAGAAAAAAGCCCAGAACCGAGTAGATATGATTCTACTGAGCTGGAGCTACAAAAAACCTTGGTTACGTAGGGAAAACCTGGCTAGAAGAAAAACACACATAAACCCTACGAAGAAGTAAGAATATATATATATATATATATATATATATATATATATATATATATATATATATATATATATATATATATATATATATATATATATATATATATATATTTGTTTATGTATATATTTGTCCTTCTATTCATGTTTTGCCTCTTCATTCATAAATGTGCAATATTAGTTTATCAGGTTGTAACATTTAATTTAATAAAGCAAACTGTAATTGGTGGTTGTGATAAATGCATTCATCTTTAAAGTCTCCCTAGATTCTTTGTTATGTGCAAAACCTAATATGACCGCTCTTTTTCTTGGTCCAGTTAAATTCTCCCCTTTAAAGAATGCTTTTGGGGAGGGCTAAAAGTCTCTTTTAAAACCCCAGTTTTCCCTCAGTATATTCATTTTGAGTTTTAAAATGTTTTTATCACATCCTTGTAATACTAACTCAAAGTTAAAGATAAGCTACAATGTTATGAATCATAAATGTATAAACCAGTGCTGTAATTCAGCTAGCCTTTCTATTACGATTGACAGTTTTATTGGACCCTTCTCACCATCTTTCACAGGTATAAGAACTAGAAGCTTGGTTTTAGGATTAATTATCAAAGAGTAAACTTTCAGTGGTGTAAATTTAAACATACAACAATAACAGTAAAAGAATATAGAGCCTCTGTATCAAGTTTAGTAAATTATTTAGAAAACGTACAAAGTATGTTTGCATTGTCTGGGTATTCCTGTGTGCACCAGTCTATACATTTGAAGGTTTTCCAAGACAGAAGTCCTCACTAGGGGAAGCTGATTTCCATATGAAAATGATGGATAACCGAATTTTAAAACGAGATGTGCTTGCCCATCATTATTTCTAGGTTGGAAAAACTGTTTTAAAGTAGATGATCAGAAGAGCATCTGTGAAGATACAGAAAATTCTGTTCCTTTAATTGTCTCCGAGTTAATGGATCTTTGAAATCATCTCGCTATGTTCCAGCCTATTGTACTGTTCGTTGCTGAGTTACAGCTATCGTACAATTCGTATTATGAAATACTCTTGGTTCCCAAATGCTGCTGGTGATTTTAGAGTTTGTCATATTAAAGAAAAAGAAGCTTTTGATCAGAGAGTTATATAATTTAACAAGAATTTTCTTTCTTTCCCCCCTGCTTCTTTCCCTTTCTGTATCTTGTATTGATACACATGCATATTTTCTAGTCATCAGAGAACCTTGGTATAACCATTAGTAATACCCAAGAATCTCTAACTGCCAAAACCTGTGGAGTGCCGAGACCAGTCAACGGAGTCATTAACACGTAAGTTTCTTGTTAAACCTCTTCTTAAGAAAATATAACCTCTAGAAATGTACTTCTAAATGGTCACCATTGAAGTTACTTAGGCTTATAAGTGTATATAAATCAAACCAACTCTGATAGTATCTATTCAGCATGTCACTTGTATCTTTACTAGAAGTCTTAAATAAGTTGGAAAAATGTAGAAACTTCTGAGCAGAAATAAATCAAAGGACCTTTCTCAACCTGATGTTCTCTAGATATATTAGACTATAACTATAACTCCCAGCAAGCTGGCTCAGGAAGCTGTAGACCAGCTAATCTAGAGAACCCATTGGATTGAGAACGTAAAAAGTGATGGAAAGTTAACAGGATGAATCTACTGGAAAGCTGGAGCAGGCATTGTGTGCAGAAGAATGAGATAGGATAATAGTGAAAAAATGTGGATGAAAAATGTAAGCCAGGAAGACGTGAGAGACAGTAAGGACAAAGGAAAAACAGTAGCTGACATTTTCAAATAATGAAAAGCTAGAGAGCTGCTGACAAGTGATGTTTACTGCAATCTAGCTTAACCTGGTATCAAAGAAGAATTTGGGGGGTACTGATCTTAGTTTTGAATCTTTATTATATGCATGGATTTATTAGTTTGCCTGGACAAATGGGCTGCTGATTTTAGGAAGTGAGTATCTGGCCCCGATTAATAATAGATAGAGAAGCAGAAATGCCTAATGTGCTGTATTTCCATTATTGGACAGTTTGCAGCCAGGCTTGACAGAGCATACTCAGGGAGATGGCTCAGATGCTGAGGAGTTGTTGCGGAAAAAGCAGAGATTAAATATGATGTCTTCAATTCCTGATGGAACCTGTGTGGCAGCCCGCACACGCCCTCTTCTCAGCTTCAAGAAACGGAGGCTTATTCGACCTAGCAATCTGATTCCACTGTCCAAAAAGGTCTGTAAATGAATAAGTTAAGGTAGTAAAAAAAATGGAGGAAGAGAAATCTTGCACCTATATGAGATAATTAACAAATTGTTGGTTTTACATATTGTTCTTTTGCCCCATAGCATTATAAAATCTGCTTAGAGTCTGTCTGATATTCAAATAAAGTACCTTTATTGGTCTTTGTGTCAGTGGAACTTTTTCCTCCTGTTAAATGAATTTGGCGTTGAGTAGGAGAGACTTGAGAAAGTTGCATTTTAAATCCTTGGAGAAACCTATGTTTTAAATCTTGATTATTTGGCTGTAGAAGTAGGTCGAGGAAGGTGGTTTAATTTCGCCTTCCCCTATGCATACTACTTTGGGAGGATAGATTCTCATTTTTAAACTCTCTTTTTAATTTCAGTTTAGTTTAGTTTTAGACTTTTTAGTTTAAAATGTTTAAATGGCTACAGTGGTCAGTATGCTGAATTCAGAATCAGTTCTAAATTTTGTGTTTGAGTTAATTTGAGGATAGAATTACAATTATTATCTGTTGTTTTTAAAAAGATATTTTTTGTTTTCTTTCCTCTCCTCTCCTCTCCCCCACAATTTAAAAAATGGCTAATCTAGCAATTTAAGGAAGTATGCACTTTCAGCCAGACTGATCTGTTTCAGTGGAATAGTCTGGTAGGCTAACAGTTTAGGGCAAATGTGGTATTGATATTCAAGAAATTCAAATTTGTATGCATAAATGGAAGACACAGTACACAAAATGTAAACCTCTAAAAAACCCCAATTTTTATATAATCATTCTAAATTACATCAGTATTGAAGATAAAAGTGTTATGGTGCTTATTCTCTGATGCAGGAAAAAAGGCACTTTTTCCCCAAGAACAAAACTTTTACATATCTTACTTTGAAACGATATTATGGATATTGAAGAAGGTTTGTTTGCTTGTTTTTTGTTTGTTTTAATTGGAACATTAGTAGGGATGAAGTACCAATACTGATAATTATGTTTCTGTGGACACTTTGGAATTTGTGAATAGCAAATATTCTGTTATTAGATAATCTATAAATAGTAGTTTTCTATCCAGGACAAATTCTGTAAAAAGAGAGGCAACTGCAAAAGCTGAAGTACAAATAGTTTGCCCAAACAGCAGAGAAAGCTCAACCCCCATTCTTTATATCTATAGTTGACCTTCTTAGGCAAATTCACAGAGTCAGTCTCTCACTCATCCATCCTATTCCTTTTCCACTCCCATCAGATCATCTTGAAGGCTTGTTAAATGCTTTGTATAGTTCATTATGTACAATAACCCAAATCATATACTTCCTCTTTCCACTGCACTGATTCTACAATGAAATCAATTTCTATTTTCGCTGGATAATTTCGCTAATCCTTTCCTGACTACCCAGAGCCGTCCTGAGGGGTCCTTCCTTATCAAGCAGTAGCAATTAAGCATATTTTTCCTTTATGTTTTGGGCAGCCAAGAGTACTTCAAAATCATTGGTCTCTGACCACCCCTGATAGCCCATGTTGTGAAACTTTGAGTAATTCTACAGAATGAAAATAGTGAATGATTGAAGACCAGGTGCTCAGTTTGAAACAAACTGCAAGTTGATGCCTTCTTCTAGATTGATGGATTCTAGCCCTTTTCCCTATCTCATCCTATGTCTAGGTTTATCGTAAACCACAGCGGTGTGGTTGTGATGTGAACTCTTTGTGTGTTCTCTGTGGCTCTCGAAGCTCAATGCCTTCAGAAATCCAGTATGAAGCCCCTTTGATGGAGCGTCTCTCACAGTTGGATTCCTGCATCCACCCTGTACTTTCATTCCCAGATGGTAAGAATGACCCCATTAGCAGATGTGAGTAATAAAAAGCTAAACAAAAGTCAGCTTCTCATTCCAAGCTAGCTCGGAAGCCATATCTAGGCAACAGTAAGATCTCTACTTTTATCCTGTCTTACATAGGATGATCCTTTGGAAGCAGAAATCACATCTTTTTTTCTTTTTGCTTAGACCATAGAGAAAGGTAGGCAGCCACAGGGGGATAATAGAGGCTGAATGATTTTGGATAAGAGAGGATCTGGAAAGGCATTTGCTTTGGCTCTCCTAAGGTATTGAGCTACTTTGGCACTAATGTTAGGCATCCCTGACCTAATTATCTAAGGGCTGCCTGACATGCACTGCTAGAGACTAGTAGATAGAATTTAAACAACAATTGGGCATCTTTCCCCCCCCCCTCCTTTCTCCTGCCCTCATCCTGCTTCCATATGTGAGGTTGTTAATGAATGTTCTGCCCTCGTCTGGATGATTTGATATGTGACTGGAAATTTCCAGATGACGTAATAACGTCATAACAACCTTGGTGAAAAGGATGTTAATCAGGTCTTTATAACAGTTAAGATAGCGCCATCTGGGGTTCTTGAGAGAAAGCTGCTGCTCTGAAGCTTTTGGTCAGGGGGGAAAAAGGCTGTCTTGGCAGGTCACGATGCTGTTTTGGCGCAGTCAGATGTTGGCTAGCAGTAAGACGGAGGAAAAGTAAACTGAATAATCAATTGGATGGTGTAGTCAGATGGAAAAATTGCTCGTGTTTCTTCAACAATGCACTTCTCTCTTCGGTATACATGCACATAGGTAGCATTATTTTACCACTACAGTGCAGCCTTCTTAGCTTATATACATTTTCATGGTTTCCATCATTTGTACTATATTAGAAATTGCCACAGTAAAGGCAGGAGATTTGCTTGGCAGGTTGATTTGAATTTTTCTGCTGAATGTGTTTTACTTTTCAGCTTCTTAGCCTGTTATCCAGGCTGTTTTTTAATTAATATCTGGATTCATCCTCTTTCATCAGCTGTTTCTCAGTATCCAGCTACCTTTCCTATCTTAAGCCCTGCTCCTAGTTTTATTTACTTGTGTATTGCCCATTTATGGAATATTCTGGGCAGGTAATTTATTTTCTAAACCCAAGAGTTGCAACTATTTCTGTACTGTGACAGTCCTTGACTTTGAAGTATTGTGCCAGGGGTCCATTCTAAACATAGTAGGCAATGGCAGGGCAAAAAGTTAAAATGGATTTTGTTTCGTTTACATTTGCAATAAGAAAGCATTAAACATAATTACTGCCTAGACATATACTACGGAATTTTCACCATGTTAAAAACCACTGTTTGCTAATCTGCAAGAAATGCTCAGAATGCTTTTGTTTGGAGGTTATCTGTGGATAGGATGTGATCCTGCATCCTTCAGTTGTGTATATGCTCTAAACAAAGGTACACATTTTGCTTTTAACTAGGTGTGTATGTGAATGAATACACCTCATACATTTTCATGCTTTCTTTTACTTGTTGAAGGGAGCCTACATACTTACCACACATTTTCTAGTACCTTGCCTTTCAAGTTGCCTCCACCTCCACCAACCACATTTCTCCAGGTCATAGGTGATGTTTGTGGTTTCTGTCCCTGTTCCTGATCGGTCTATTTCACTCATGTACAGAAAATTACCAAACAAAAAGGAAAGTGCTAATTACAAATTAATTGGAAGTATGTTCAGGTTGCTACTGGATAGACTAGGACTATGTGTGTATTGGGTGAAAATAAAGACCTTGGTTTGGATAGATGATGAATCAGTGTTGTATTTGAGAAGTGATCAAATTCTTCATATAAGTGGAAATGCACTTTTAACTCCTTGTTTCCTCAGAGATGTCAATTCATCTTCAAAATTTTACTGTAGAGCAAAATTGCTTTCATTTATGTTATTTAGTAATATCCTCATTTTAATTTAAGGAGCACTTAATATTTATTTATTTTAAGAAACAAATCTTATTTTGGATTTTAACAAAATATTTTAATTGCTCTCAAGTAAAATGCAACTTGGGATAGAAATCTAGGACTTTTGAATTTTTTCCAGAGAGAGCTGGAGTAGCAGCTTTTGCTGCTGTTGTTGGGTCTCTACAAACAAAACTGTTGTATCCTAACTGGAGGTGGAGCAGGCTCAAAGAGAAGGATTATTTTTCCTTTCTCTACAGGTAGTCCTCGATTTAACAACAATTCATTTACTGACCATTCAAAGTTACAATAGCACTGAAAAAGTGACTTATGCCTTTTTTTCAGTTACGATCTTTGTAGCATCCCCATGATCCTGTGATCAAAATTCAGATGCTTGGCAACTGCTTCATATTTCTGACCATTGCTGTGTTCCAGGGTCATCTGATCACCTTTTGCAACCTTTTGACAAGCAAAATCAATGGGGAAGCCAGATTCACTTAATAACCATGTTACTAAGTTATTAAGTGCAGTGATTCACTTAACAACTATGGCAAGAAAGGTTGTAAAACGGAGCAAAACTCATTTAACAAATGTCTCGCTTGACAACAGAAATTTTGGGTTTCATTGTAATCATAAGTCGATGACTACCTGTATTTACTTTCTACTCTTTCTCTAATGGGAAATCCCTTTAAGCAGTTTATAAATAAAAAGAACAAAACATAAAACTAAGAATGCGAGAATAATATTTTATAAAATATTTGACAGAGACATAATGCAATAATCCAATGTCTGGGAGAGGGAAGACCCATGTTCCCCTAATATATTGTTGCTGAAGGCTACATTAGTTCAGAATTCCAGTTGACTCAAGAAATCTGGAGGGCACAGTGTTAGGGTAGCTGCAGTTAAGCCAATATTGGTGATTTTATTACTGGGTGAAAATAAAGAACTCCATAAATATTGCTTTTTTGCCTCTCGATGGATTTTTAGTCCATGTTACTATAAATCTCCAAATTTAGGTTTAGAGAGATTGCATTCACAATAGGCCATCTTTATTTTGAATAATGTCTGATAAATGCCTTCTTTTGGTTTTGTGTTTGTGTATGTGTGTATTCATTTTTCTGCAGATGTACAAGTAGGCTTACACCTTCAGGGCATGTTGAAATCCCACTTGCAGTACAAGCCCTGTGAGAAAATCAAACCTCCGAAAAAGCTCACATTGAAGCACCGATCCACCGTGCCTCCCAGCAGTCTGTCTGACTCAATGCGCAAAGACCGTCACAAGCTGGTTAATACCTTTTTAGCAGCAGCCAGTAAGTGCCTTCATTGATTTTAGTCTTGAATTGGCAGGAATTATCCATTTGGTCCTGCAGAGTCATCTATGTATATGGCTTAAAGTGAACCAGGATTCCACTTTGAAATGTGATTAATGCTAGTGCTCAGCCTGGAAAAGGAAATAATAAATAAGAGACTGCCTGTGAAAATACATTGACTTTTTGGGCCTCCCATAATAATAGTACACAAACCCTGGCTTTAGGCAGAGCTTCCAGGATTACAGGCCACTTAGAGGCTCAGCTCTACTTTCTCCCTTTGGAGGTATAATTTCTGACAGTAGGTCCTATTTTAGTAGTAATTTAATTTAGTTTTTAAGAGGGAAAAAAGAGGGCTACTTACAAAGAAGAGCTGCTTGTATTTAAACTTCTAAAAATTCATTTGTGCAAATAATAATTAAGCAGTGAAGAAGACAAAATAGGCAAGAACCCATGGTCCACCAATGCTTATTGAAATGAAACATAGGCTCTTGTTTCCATCCTGATTTTTGCAGCGTCTAAGTGAGTTAATGATAAGGAGGACTTAACTTCATATTAGTTGAAAATAAAAATCTAGTATGAATAACTGAAGGAATTAAACATGTAACTCTTTTTGAAGGATTATGTTGCATAGAGAAAAATAATAAAAGTAATGTTTAATATTAAAGAGATAAGGGTGTCCCTTATTCTGAGCCAGGTCATGCTCCATCTAGCCTAGAGTTTTGTGTATTCTGGCTTGAAAAACACTACTTCTGTTTGATAGCCTTTTTTATCTGGAGATGCCAAAGATTGACCTATGATTCTGAGCATACAAAGCATGAGTTTTGCTATTGAGTTTACCAACCTCCCCTTCCTTTTCCTTTTCTTACAAAATAGAAGCAGATTAAGTTTCTGAAATACAATGTCGTAGACTCTTTGACCAGGAAACACTTTTCAAGGAATTTGGAACTTGTGTTGGCGCATGAGGGAGCTGATTATTTAGTGTTGGCTACTGTTATGGGAAAACCACAATGAGTATATGTAGAACGCAGTCATTCTTGAATGTTTCCTGGTTATGGTATGTGTTGTTTGGAATTGAAAACAATTAAACATGGATTGTGTGTTCCTAAATAAGCAAGAGAAAATATATTTGCATGCAAACATGCATGTTTATTCCTACTTTTTGAATGGAGTGTCTGCTTCAAGCATCATGAACACTGTACAGTATATAACTGATAAACTGCAAAGGTAGGTTTAATACTTGAAATAAACAAAAGACAGGTCCTGCTGCTCTTGATTTTTGAGATTGTTCTACAGTGGTCAAGTAGCACCATCTGTAATTGCCTCTTGGCTCTCTTTACAGAATATATTTCATAGAAACATGTGGGCCAGAATGAAAGCCAGCATATTAGAAGCCTTGGCAGGGCTGGGTGCCGCTCAAAAGTTCTGCGCTATAGTAGGCCTTGCAAACAGGATGGATGGATGGATTTTTACCGCAACCGCTAAATTAATAGGGTTGTCACCCAAGGGCAGTTGCTGCCAGTGACTCTTTATGTTGTTCTGGCAATCATGCTTGTATGGCTCCTGGGTTTTGTCTAGCCTGGGTCCTGAAAGGCAGGAAAGACAGGTGAAAGCAGGGCATTTTCATGGCTCTCTTTCTGTTCCACTCCTCAGCTTGCTCACATCACAAAATCGAGCCAGACAAGGCATACAGGCAGTCCTTAAACGATGTGAGGGCTGCTCCCAAGGCCGAGAGAGCGCCAGAGCGCTCACTTATCCTGACGGCAGTTCATGAAAGAAAGCGATTGCGGGACAGCTCCTCCGAGAGAAGTGAAGGTAGGCTGGCCCCAGCCAGGTCTGTCTGGGGGGAGCTTGGGCTCTGCATTCTGCTCCCCATCTCCCTTTCGAGATGGTTGCTTTCTGTTTCTGGGAATTAAAAGGGGCAGTGGTGTTACCTGCCATGGGCTCTCTCTTGTGTGCTTTAACAACTTTCTCCTCTAGAGAAGCAGTCTAGCCAAAGGAAGCTTCTGTCTCTTACATGTGCTCTGGTTCTTCTGTGTGAATTGTTTGATGCCTGTCTGGTGTAATGCTTGTGGGTGTAATATAGGTATTGTTTTCACTCATTGTTCTCTATCTTATTCCTTCTCTTTCTTCCTTGCATAGTGTTTAAGCATCATGCAGAGATTGGAGGGCCAAGTTACTTGTCGAGTGCTATGGCCTCCACGGCTCACAGTTCCTTCATGAGGCAACTCTCCACTTCCTCTGAAAATTCCATCCCTCCTGTCGCCACAAGTTCCTTGGGAAGCTCCAGTGCAACTGTAAGTATTTTGGTTTGGGGGGTGGTGTTACCTGACAGTAGCAACAGTTCGATTTCTTCAGTGCTTCAGGATACAGTGTGTTGCATGACCCAAGTCATTCCATGTCTTAAGGTGCTTGAGAGTTAACCTTGACTTAGAAGAAAAAATAGGGCAAGGAGGAATGACTTGAACAGAAGGATATGTGCTCTTTTTTTTCAATTATAGAGTATGGGATATAAGGGATTACATCAAAGGTACAATGGAAAAGGTGATTTCTAGCTTTCATGCTCATCAGTCTTCTGAGCAATTAGATTTAGCTATAGTGTCTCAGACTGCAGCAGAGGAAGAAAAAAGTGAAGAAAAGCAGGCTTCAAAAGTTGGGGAGCAATATATTCTGGGTTTGGGAACAAGGAAGTTGTGAATCCTAGTGGAGAATGGGTGAGAGAGTGGGGGTAAGAGGTGGCAGTTAAGAAATGAACTGTATCTTCAGTTTCATGCATGGAAGGGAACTTTATGGCTTTTCAGTCCAGCTGACTTGAAACTTGCTAGGATTTTTTTTTTTTTTGACCCAGACAATTGGAAAGGACCTTAAAAAAGAAGTAGGGTAAAATTGGTGTACTTTCTCCTCTCTTTATAGTTTGCTCTCCCTCACCTCTCTCAGTATTCCCATGGTTTGCTTTGCCTTAGCTGTATACTGCCACTCTTTGAAATTCAGCCCACATATATGTCCACCTTCCGTAACCAACCAGTGCCATCTTTCTCCTTACTTCTCTTTGATTGCACATTACTGTTCCCCTTGTGCATAAATAACAGCATCTCTCCCTCCCTCCCTCCCTCTTCTGTATACTTTTAGCTGTTGCCTCATGTTACCATCTCTGATTTTTCTCCTTTCCCACTCTCCCATTGCAGAACATGTCTGCTTGGAAAGTGCATGATTTAGACACAGGCAAAAACTGCATATTCTAACCCAGGCACCACTGCCCACAACTTCCCATCCTGTGTTTGGAATAGCCTATATATAGGATGGTTGGAATAAGACATTGTGTGCCCAGACTCCAGAAAAGCAAAGTAATGGATAATTAATTTTGTTTTGAAACATTTCAGTAATTGCTAGTGATAGGTAAGCTTCATTTGGTGGGATTTGGGTTTCCAGACTTTAGAAAACGCTTTTCAGGATCCTTCTTGTGGTTTATTTTCTTGGCTTTTGAACACTTAACAGCACCATACTAGTGTTTTGGTTCACTAGTCCCATATTCATTCTTTATGTCAAGCAAGTTTACTTGCTTGAAATAGTCATTTATTTTATTTATTAAATTTATATGCTGCCCATATAAATTGAGCATTTCAAGATGTGTAGCGCATATCAGGTAAAAGTGGAATTTCAGTGACATCTCTAGAGATGATCAAAATAGCATTGTAATTCTTACCTGAATGCTTCTTTGGTTGGACACAATCAGGACAGCTGAATGTCATTTTAGTAGTGCAGGGTAGTAGCTAAATCAGGGATTGAAATCCATATTCAGCTATAAAAGTGCATCTGCCACATTAATTTCCTTTATAGAATTGTTATTGAAAGGATAAATTTAAGAAAAAGATACAGTATATATTTCCTTAAATTCCTGTACAAAAACTGGATATCAATCTAAGAAGCATGCTTTCTTGGCCAAATTTGAGTTGAATAGGGAAATAATATTTCACAAACTGTTTGAATGGCACTTGCTAATTCATTTCATTCACCCTGGAAAAGGCCAAATATGAGTAAATAGTGGCCATAATGGAACATGAACCATTTCCACTCATAAAATGGGGGTCCTACAATTAGAAGTAATAGCAAATAAATTAATCTAGTTGAATGTTTTATTTGTTGGACAGATGAGAGCAGAAAGAAAGAAAAGTGTTCAATAAAAACGTACATATCCAGAACATTCCAAATATATTGGAATGTTATGTTGGAAGTTGTGGACCAGGTTAAATTCTCTGGATGATTTTGGACTGCATCTCCCATCAACGATACCAGTAGCTATACTTTTGTTGGCTATGGTGAAATTTTAGTTATTTATTTTTGTGACTTTCTGCACATACAGCAATCACTACAAAGTCACTACAAAGTGGCAAAAAAATCTTACTAAGTATTGTTAAAACCACTATTAAGCTAACACAATTAGAAAAGGACTGAATGTAGAAGGTGGTTTTGATCCGTTTTCTGAAAGCAGAAAGAATGGGATCAGACTATGGTTCTTCAGTGAGCATGCTCCAAAGCTTGGAAACCAGGCCATCTCTTAGGTATCTAGTAGACAGACGTCAACAAGTGAACGTACCTGTAAAAGAGCCTCTTCTACTGATTTATGATTTAACCAACTGGTCCATCAAATAGTGAGGTCCTAAGCAATTCAGGGCTTTAAAGATGAAAACTAAAGTACACTTCTGATATTGTCTGCCAGTTAGCAACTTAGTTTTTGCATTTTATACCAGTTGAAGCCTTCATATACTCCTCAAGAGTAAAACTATATAAAGACATTGCAGTATAACCAAGAAGTAGTTAATTATTGTTAGATCTAGCCAACTCGGATACCTTAGATGTAATTGCCTGACTATATTCCTTACCACTCATGTCACCTGAAAATTAGGGATAGCAGAAGGTGTCAAGGAGCCCTTCCAAATGCTAGCCATCCTCTTTTACTGAGAATATAATCCCATCCAGAATGATGATTAGTGTAGGGGAAAATATATCAGTCCTGACTACTTATGCTACAGACCCAGCACAGGACCAATTAGGGTATAAATACCTAAATGTGTTCATGAATAACTTTAAGGTTACTAATTCAAACAGAGGCAAATAAGAGGGTCTTCCTTTCCATTTTTTTTTTTGGCTTGTATTACTATGATACTTACGGAATCTCACACACGTAACTTTGGTCTCCACATCAGTACCTCTGTATGAGTTTGCAAGCAAGAACTGAATGACGAAATTTGCATCTCTGCCCTGAGTATGTTGGTTCATACTTGAACCTCTCAGGTAACTAAATAATACTAGGTCCATTTATGCAGGACAGGGGCCTTGTGCTAGCCAATCAGTGGCAAGATTTGTATGTGTGTAACAATCCTATTTTCCAACATTAACAGCTGAAGTAAGGCTATTGAATCTCTTTGTCTCCCTGTAGCAGTGCTCTTGACTAATTGTTTGTCTCAGCTTGTGATTAAAGTGCAGTTTTAACAGCAGTAGATGCATGTGCTTGATTTTTATCCTCTTTATTCATACTGGGGGGAAAGAAGGACACTGAGACAATGGTAAATCATAAGCAGTTTTTGTAAACATTTTTTGGTAATATTGTTTGTGGTATATTTCATGTCTGGTTTCCTCTACTTCAAGGTTTCCCAAGTTGGCCACCATTTTAAAAGTTTGAAATGTAATAAGGTTAGTTTCAAATTTCCCCAAGTAAGCTATTTTTTTTCTAAATGCCTCTTAGTAAGTTATAATATTTCTTCTAAGCTTGTTGACACTAAAAAAGTTCTAAGTATATTCTGCACCAAGTATTTTAAGCAGTAAAAAAGATAGCTTGATTATGAAAGTTGCAATAAAAATGAAGTAATGAATATCTGTCTTAAATGGGTATCATAATTTGGTATAAATTGCTATGTCAACAGAGCCAGAGGCTTGAGAATCTCCTTAAGATAGGGTTTCCCAGCTGTAGGCAGCTTGAAGATGTGTGGACTTCAATTCTCAGAATTCCCCAGCCAGCATTCTGGGAGTTGGAATCCACACATCTTCAAGCTACCAAGATTGAGAAACATTGCATTTAGGAATTTGTGTACAACCCTGTTCACTATAAAATAGCTAAAAGGAAAAGTTACATCTGCCACAATATGGCACCCACTGAGCCGGAGATGATATTGTCAAAAAAATTCCATGTTCATGAAGAGCTTGGTAGAATCTTAGGCAAAAGTCAGTAGCCACAAGCACTTGTTTTAATGTTATATTGATGGGGTTACATATGCAGACTATCTATGAATGTTATAACTTTCTGCACATTTTAGCAATTTTTAGGAAAATGGGCTGTCAGGAAGAAGGTTTTCCAATGAATGAATATGTTTTACAAACTAGTCGCACTATACAATGGGTACTGTAGCTTTGCTTTAGTTTTAGTTACAAGGTTGCTTAACTTGGAATTTACATCAGGATATCTTTGTTTTCCATTAGTAGTTGGTTCCCTGGAATATTTAAGCAAATTAGAACTTAAATAAATCCACTTCCATTGTATTTTAATCACTAGACTAAAAGACCAGAACATTTCTGGTCATTTCTTTCTGCTATAGATTAATTTTAAAATTGTTCCCTCTTCATAACCCTGCCTCATTTTCACTGTTGTTTTCTGCATTGTTTTGTAGCAACCGCCAAGGAGGAGAAGAGGGGAAAGCTCTTTTGACATTAACAACATTGTCATACCAATGTCTGTTGCTGCCACAACCAGGGTAGAAAAACTTCAGTACAAAGAAATTCTTACACCAAGGTATGTTCAAGTTTAATTAGCATCTTAAACTTCCACAATCTTTCTGTTCATCTAAACTAGTTGAATAACGTAATATCTCAGTTTTTTTAGTCTTCCCTTGTAAAAAATTACTGGGAACTACTTGATAAATGTTCCACAAGCAGTTAGAATTTTGCTTTTTCCATTCCACAGAACATCTGAATGAAGCCTGTAGGCCACCAGTGGTTTTTAGACTACAGAAAATCTCTCATAGCTAAAGATCTATGTGTGAGTGAACCTCTGAGCCCCAAGATATTGCTGATCTATATTTTCAACTTCTAGAATGCCCAGTAGCAAAAAATATTTGAAACAAGTTAAATAGTATCTAGGAGACTACCATTTCTCCCTCAACTGTCCAGAAGCAGAACAACTGTCTTAAGATCAAGTTAAACATCTTGCTAAATGCGTTCCAGAACAGGTGTCTAATCAAATTTGAGAGGGTGAAGGATTTCCCAGGAAAGGGCTATGTAGTTAGTATTTTCCTACACTGGTCTCCTTACAAAATTTTGTTTTCCCATCACAGAAGCCATCTTTCTATTGAGAGAGAAGTTTCATTAGGTCTGGTAGCTTGATCTAAAATACTTTATTTATTGTAGATTTTAAGAGTATTATAGATGGAAAGGAGAAATGCTGGGTCTTAGCCGTGGCCTTGATGGAACTTCCTTGTTACCTGTGGTTACTCGACTTATGACTGAAATTGAACCCACAATTTTGGCTTTGAGTCATGACAGTTGTAAAGTGGGTCACATGACTAGGACCCCTCCTTTTTTTTTTGGTGGGGGTGCAGTGGTTATAAAGGGTTCACCATAGTCATTAAGCAGAATAAACCCATCTTTTTGCTATGGGCAGTTTTTTTTTTTTTCCTGGAAACCAAAAGTAAATAACCTGTTTCCAGGAAAAGCATTATAAATCATAGCCATGTGACTGCAGGGCCATGGTTCTGTACTTTTCTAGGAAGAGTCATAGCTCATCATGCTTTTAATTTAAAAGATCCAGTGCATCAGTCACCAATTTAAATGATCTCTACTGCTTGGTTAGAAATTAGAAGAGGGAAAAAAATCAGCTGAATTAGAGCAAGGGTGTGATAATCATGGAAAGCGAATGTGAAATATTTCCCACCCTCTTTGTGTTTTTTTTTTCATGCTGTCATGGCAACAGTAGTCTCTTTTAGTGGCTTTATAACATTACATAGTGGAGATGAATAGCTATCTATCTCTGGCTTTGTTCCTTGGATCTGTTTCATCATCCTCACCCATGCACTCCCCCAGACTTCCAGTTGATCCTTGCAAAAGCAACATATGCTTATTGTTATTATTGCAATTAATAGAACATTTTATATAGGAATCAACAGGCATTTTCCCTCAAAAATGCTCACACACTCTCCAAATAAAGATTTTTTAAATGGCAAATCTCACAAGAAATTTTGCAAAGGGTGATTGGAATTGCAGCCTAGTACATACAGACTTGAAGGCGTGAGTTGGTGGAGCTGGTATGTCTGATTTGAAATTATGCCACTGCATGTTAAAAGTGCAGATTAGATAGGACTGCTAAGAACATTTGTGAGATCTCTAAAAAAAGATGTTTGAAGCTTATTTGTTTTACCTGGAGAGAGGAAAGAGTTAGAAAAGGTGTGCTTGAAAATCAAAGGCAATTTTTGTGGTCCTGAGGTTTAGAAGGGGCAGTTAGTCTGAAATGCCATCATAAGAGGCAGGCTCTATTATGGCTCTGACTTTCCCAAGAAAGGATTAAGCTCAATCTTCAGCTTAAATTGAGTTTTTGAGTTGCTTTGATCACTCAGTGAAAATCTCTCCATAAACTCCATGGAAGAAAAGCCAAATGCAAAAGTAGCAGTATTCCCTTTGCTATTGGATCCAGGTGGCAATGGGTGTATTTTCCCTACTGACTCTTCTTTTTTGACCCAATTGTTGCAGCTGGCGTGTTGTGGATGTTGATGCTCTGAAGATGAATCCAGATGAAGACAGTGAAGAGGTAATTGTAATTGCTTTCCTTGGTTGTCTGTACTTAATTTCCATGCATGGAATTCTGAGCAGATTCTGATGCTATATATTATGTTGACTTCCAAATATATGTGGAAGAAGATAGCAAAACCTGCCCATGAGTGGCTTTCTTTCCATTCTAAAATGACAGTGTGATCAACACATGTTGACTTTTTCCAAGGGAGAATTCTTTTTGAAGCAGTACAGAACCATTTCTTGGTTATTTTGAATGGCTGATAAAAACAAATGGGAGTGTCTGCCCACAGAGCATTTTTGGAGGGCAGAATAGAATTACAATTCACAGTGAGTGCTGTTATTCCTAAGCAACTAAAATTGGAGTACCTATGGATTCTCTGGGCATTGACCTCCCCACTCTAGCACCCATTAATTGTGTTGAACTGCCATTCCCAGCCAGTATTACTAATTGTGCCTAGATATCCTTGGAAGGTGCTAGCTCAGGCCGAGGGAGACTGTCCTGTGAAAGTTTGTTTTTCATCTGATTGACTGAAGGCTACTCAGTTCCCTCCGGGAGGCTTACACTATATATTTTTTTAAAAGTAAGCAAAGAGAGATATATGTCCACTCACACATTATAAATATTTCACAATGGTTTGATTGGGGTCAATAATCATCTTATTCTAGAGCCTGGGTAAAGATCTCTGTTTTTAAGAATTTCTAGAGCAGGGACTTCCAGTGGGGTGCTGTGCCAGAGAGGTATCATGATAGAGAAGTCATGTTTCCTGGGTTCTTCTGGATAGCATTGTATGGAATCCATAGCATATCAGTTCTGCCTGATGTTACTGGATATGCAGATATCATGGAAGAGTGGCAGGCCTTCAAATAAACTAGCTTTGTGTCAATAAAGTAGTAGTACTACTTTACTAGTAGTCGTAGAGTTACGATTTTTCATTCAGCAACTGTTCAAAGTTAACAGCAGCACTGAATGAATTTATTTTATTTTATTTTTTTATTTTATTTCGAATTTATATACCGCACCTTCTCCTGAAGGACTTAGGGCGGTGTACAGCCAGATAAAAAACATACAATATAAACATTAAAAACAATTAAAAAGATATATATTAATTTGGCCCCAATTTAAAATAACAAACCAATTAAAAATATTTTAAAAATATATTAAGCCAGCCCGGCTTGCTGAAAAAAGAAAGTTTTAAGGGCACGGCGGAAGGCACCGAGGTCTTGGATTCTCCTTATCTCTGGGGGCAGCTGAGGGTAGGTGCCCCCACAGAGAAGGCCCTCCCCCTGGGAGTCACCAGCCTATATTGTTTGGCTGGTGACACCCCAAGGAGACCCTCTCTGTGGGAGCGCACAGGTCGGTGGGAGGTCATTGGTAGCAGCAGGTGGTCTCGAAGATAACTAGGTCCTATGCCATGAATTTACACCTGGTCTCTGAAGTTATGACTGTTGTAGTGGCCCCATAGTTACATGATCAAAACTGG